CACGGCAGTTGGTTGACGGGACGGACGCGACCAGACTTGAGTTGTCAGATATCTATCGCTCAACATATCATTCCGAAGCCGACGGTAGGATACATTCGATATTCGAGTTCGCGGGTCCGACGAGCGAAGCAGTGCGACGAGATTGCGATCACGTTCCTCAGTATCCCTTTTGAAAAACTTCGTTTCGTGTGCCACTCGGGGTACTCGTCGAAAGACCTGAACGGACTGGGAGGACCCACGGTGGGTACATCATCGGTGCGACGGATCTGGCGATGGCGAGAGGTTTGCTGGCTAGCTGGTGCCCCTTAGATTGGAAGTCTCAGAGGATCAATCAAGGCTGCACGTCTACTCTAGCTAGAGGGAGCAGATTGTTGAAAACTTCCTTGGGCCATCCGGGGTGGATCATGTGTACGCTTGCCAGTACCATGCATCCGATTGTTCTGTCTTGAGACCTGGGGCAGGTATGACCACACGTTTTTCGCTACGAACGTGCTCGGCTGTACGCCCGTGCTCGACCGCGTGACCAAGCCTGGGGCCCCAACAGCGATCGAGGACAAGAAGGCCTCCCTCGGCGCTGCGACTGCGGAAGGAAGTCTCGTGAGGACGGGGGCTGCGCTGCGCCGGGGACCTGCGGAGCTGCTGCCCGGAGATGCCTGGACCAACGACCGATCAGGGGCCGCCGACGCGTTGCGTGCTTGGCTCCGTGCCTCTGCGCGTATCGGCTTGCGGTACCTCTGCCTTTTCTTTTCCCGGGACTTCACCACCGGGCTCCTGTCCAAGGTGTACCTTTTCCTGCACGTCCCGTTCGGCAACGCCTGATCCCCGGGCTTCGCCCGCCCCTGGCCGCGTGAGGCCCCGCCTGCTCCCGCCCTTTCTCTGCCAATCAAAGCTGTGCGCGTCCCGCGGAGCTTTCAGCGGAAGAGGCTCGCTCTCGCCCTGCAGATCAAAAAAGTGTATCGGCTTGCGGACGAGTCCGTCATCTTAGCCAAGCTTAACTGCCTCGATACGTGCGTTCTGAAATTCAACACGTCCCGTGTTCAAGACGTCCGTGTCCATACGTTGCGTGCTGGCTCCACGTATTGGACCACGTATTGGCGAAGGTATCGCGTCGGACCTACGTTTTCAGCCTACGTGTTGAGTTCCGTATCGATACGGTGCGTGTTGCGTGTTGCGTATCGGGGCAGCTAAGTAGCCAAGGCTCACGCTGAGAAGTCGGCCCGAGCCGCTCGCAGAGCCCCTCCAGACAACTCTCGCCAGGCCTCCGTCGTGGTAAAGCTGGAGGTGACGGGGTCCGACGAGCAGGCGAGGGCGATCATGCGTGGCTTGGCGGATGTCTCCCGAGGACCCGACGCTCGTTGGGGCCACGGCCCGCGTCAAGGACACGGTGCCGGCCAATGCGATCCTGCATGAAGTCAGCGCGAGTTGGCAACACGGCAGTGACGCTGCAGCGGCACGTGAGCAACACTGGGTGCGTCCAAGTGGTGACTGGCCATCGCTCGGACGTCCATTCCGTGTGTTTTTTTTCGGTGTCGTTCGTGTTTTTTCGCCAAATAATCCAGGATGCTCCTCGATGGTCCTCGCCGAAGGAAGAAAGCACACGTCCGAGCGATGCCAAGGTGATGACGGCCGCGCTGGAGGACGAGATGAAGGAGAAGCTCGTGCGCCTGGGGAGGGTGTGCGCCGAGTGGCAAAGCAACGCCAGGGTGAACATCGATGTCACGTCGCCAACAGCCGAGTTCTTTCGTGTCAAGGTCGAACGGGTCAGGAAGGATACGTACGTCCGAGAAAGACAGCAATAGTTTCCTTCCAGACGAGAAGGCGGATGCGGAGGCCGTCCAGTTAGTGATTTCCGACGTGGAGTTCGAGCTGCAGCGCTACCCGATTATGCGCGAGAAGCTGCTAGAGATGATCAACCAAAGCTCGTACATGAGATGTCGGCCACAACGAGCGAGGTGGGTACGCCGTGACAGGAGGGCCAGGACTGGACGATGGAGCGGTGAGCGAGTATGGGGCACCAAACAGAGTTTGGACCTGTGCGAACGTGGAGCTCCTGTGAGCCCTGGGCAATCTGGGCAGTCTGAAAATGTCCAACTCCGTTCGGTGAACAGAACTGGACGACAAGAAGAACGACGCTAAAGCCCCGCCATCCTGGAGTTCTCCCTCTGCAACTTCGTGGCCATCTCGCCGACGGGAGCCCGGAAAACTCCCTTGCATGTACCGTGCACATGTTTAGAGGCTGCATCCCGCAACCAACTTCTGGCATAGACAAGTCCCGCGCGGGCCAGCTCGGGCCCTCGGCGAAGCAGGCAGAACAGACCTCACGGCTCGACTCTGCCAGCGATCGGACTCGCTCCTCCTCCTCCTCCTCCTCCTCCTCCTCCTCCTCCTCCTCCTCTCCTTCCTCCTCGTCGTCGTCGTTGTCCTCCTCCTCCTCCTCCTCCTCCTCCTCCTCCCTCCTCCTCCTCCTCCTCCTCCCTCGCAGAATCCCAACGGAGGGGCCCAGCGGGCTGGCCGCGGCGCGCGCGGGGGGGGGGGGGCGGCAGTGCAGGGGCAGACGGAGCACCCGACTTTGGACGGGCGCGGGAGGCGTCCGATTCTGAACACTGCGCTCGGGAGGACTCGAGAAGGTGCGGGGGAAGCTCGGAGGGCTCTGGGGCCCTCTCCTCCTCCTCCTCCTCCTCCTCCTCCTCCTCCTCCTCCTCTTCATCCTCCGACTCTCCCTGCTCAGCTCCTCTGCTCCTCCTCCCCTTCCTCATCCTCCTCTTTTCCCCAACCATCCTGTGGTGTTGGGTCCTCGTTTTGAAGAGACGGCGCCCCGTGTTTTCCTCCTCCCGCCTCATTCCTCCTCCCTCCTCCCCCTCTTCCTTCCTCAATGCGTTTCACCCACCCAGTACAGCGTTTCGTGGCCCCAGAAGGGGGCTCCACGTAAGACCCCAGTGGGGGTGGCCACATGCGTCCGCCACACCCAGTACAGCGCTTCGTGGCCCCATAGGGAGACCCACCCAAGGCCCCAGTGGAGGTGGCCACACGCGTCCGCCACACCCAGTACAGCGTTTCGTGGCCCCATAGGGAGCCCCACCCAACGCCCCACTGGGGTTGGCCACATGCGTCCGCCACACCCAGTACAGCGCTTCGTGGCCCCATCGGGAGCTCCACCTGCGGCCCCAGTGGGGGTTGCCACATGCGTCGGCCACACCCAGTGCAGCTTTTCGTGGCCCCAGAGGGAGCACCACGTAAGGCCCCAGTTGGGGTGGCCACATGCGGCCGCCACACCCAGTACAGCGTTTCGTGGCCCCATAGGGAGCTCCACCGAAGGCCCCAATGGGGTTGGCCACATGCGTCCGCCACACCCAGTACAGCGCTTCGTGGCCCCATCGGGAGCTCCACCTGCGGCCCCAGTGGGGGTGGCCGCATGCGTCCGCCACACGCAGTACGGCGCTTCGTGGCCCCATCGGGAGCTCCACCCAAGGCCCCAGTGGGGGTGGCCACATGCGTCCGCCACACCCCGTACAGCGCTTCGTGGCCCCATAGGGAGACCCACCCAAAGGCCCCGGTTGGGGTGGCCACATGCGTCCGCCACACCCAGTACAACGTTTCGTGGCCCATCGGGAGCTCCACCCAAGGCCCCAGTGGGGGTGGCCACATGCGTCCGCCACACCCAGTACAGCGCTTCGTGGCCCCACAGGGAACCCCACCCAATGCCCCAATGGGGGTGGCCGCATGCGTCCGCCACGCGCAGTACGGCGCTTCGTGGCCCCAGAGGGAGGTCCACTAAGGCCCCAATGGGGGGGGGGGCCACACGCGTCCGCCACACCCAGTACAGCGTTTCGTGGCAGGTTTTCCCAAGGCCCCAGTGAGGGTGGCCAGATGCGGTCGCCACAACCAGTACAGCGTTTCGTGGCCCCAAAGGGAGCTCCACGTAAGGCCCCAATGGGGGTGGCCACATGCGTCAGCCCACATGCGTCTCCCCCGCCCAATACAGCGCTTCGTGGCCCTATCAGGGGGCTCCATCGGAGACTGTACCTACAACCGCGGTGTTCACAACTGCATATGGTTGGGTCCTTCGCCAAGCGAATTCATGTGGTTGATTTTTTATTTTCGCATCCATCCTGCGGTGTTGGGTCCTCGTTTGGAAGAGACAGTGCCCCGCGTTCTCCTTCCTTCCCCCTTCTCCTCCTTCCTCCCCTTCCTCCTCCGATCCCTGCCTCCGCCCTCCGAACCAGTCAGTCATTTTGGCACACCCCTCACACGCTTCGTGGCCCCATGGGGAGCCCCATCGAACGTCCAAATATCAGCGTCCACCGCACCATTTTGGCATACCCCTCAGACGTTTCTTGGCCACAGAAGGCGCCCCACCGAAGGGCCTTTTGGTACACTCTTCACACACGTTTCGTGGCCCCGTAAAGGGGGCCCCACCGAAGGCCCACATGCCAGCGTTCGCATGCGCCCACCGCACCCGTTTTGGCACACCCTTCGCACGTGTCGTGGCCCCACAAGGAGCCCCACCGAAGGCCCAAATGCCAGTTCGCATGCGCCCACCGTGCCCATGTCGGCACACTCCGCACACGTTTCGTGGCCCCATCGGAACCCCACCAAAGGCCTACATGCCTGCGTTCGCATGCGCCCAACGCATCCATTTTAGCACGTCCCTCGCACCTTTAGTCGCCCCATAGGGAGCCCCACCGAAAGCCCAAATGCCAGCGTTCGCATGCGCCCACTGCACCCATTTGGGCACGCCCCTCGCACGTGTCGTGACCCCGCAGGGAACCCTACCGAGAGCCCATATACCAGCGTTCGCATGCGCCCACCGCGCCCATTATGGCACGCCCCTCACGCGTTTCGTGGCCCAATAGGGAACTCCACCAGAGGCCTGCATGCCAGCGTTCGCATGCACCCACCGCACCCATTTTGGCGCACCCCTTCACACGTTTGGTAGCCCCATAGGGAGCTCCACCGAATGCGGTGCATACAACGACGGTGCCCACAACAGCACATGTTTTTTTCGCCAGGATAATTTGGTTTTCCGCCCCCCGCGGCTGCACAACAGGCTTCCGCAGCTCCATCATTGTGGGCTGCGCTTGCGCGGGCAGGATGGCTGGCGCCCTTGACTTCACAGCCACTGCGGGTCGCAACAGGAACCTCCAAGCTGCTGTCGGGTACCCAGTCAGGAAGAAGTGCGTGTATGGGAAAGAGTGCCGCGTATTGGAAATTGTGCCACACACCTCTATCACAATGCAGATTCTCACGCAGCGGAAGATGCTCAATGACGTGGCATGCTGATTCTGGGCACGTGATGCTGAAGAAACGGGTGATGGGCGGAGACTGGTGCGCAAGCAACCCTGTCAGAACAATGACAGGCGCTGCATGCTTGCACCACAGTGCAAGGCCGCAAAGGACAGAACACGACCGACAATTCCCTAGGTACGCGATCAAACCTCGCACAAATCATCGCCGTGGTCGTGCACCCTGAAAAAGATGACTGAACCGTCAGTCTCGTCTGCAAACGGAGCAACTCAAGCAGGACCATCTTGAAACATTCGCTGGTGACGGGCGAGCGCAAGCGGTGCAGTCTGGCATCGGCATTTCTGGCCGGGGCATGCGCAACTGCAGGCTGGCGAACGACCGTTCAAGGCCACAGGACGCCCTCCGACGGCACGGTCAGGCTGGAAACGCAGCAGCACACCGAGGCCTGCTTGAATCCACGGCCGCTGGCGCGACGAACCGTCGGGATCTACGTAGAGACGGAGTCCGTCCAAGAAATCGAGAACCTCGAATAGTGGTACTCACAATGAACAGGCACGTACTTCCAACCCGTGTTACCATCTGCACGTGCCGCGGGCCATGACTTCGACTGGAGGCGGCGCACTACTCGGAGATTGCGACCAAGTGATCGCGGTGGTGAGACCCAACTGACATGCTCGATCCCCCCAATCCCCGTCCTCATCCTCCTCCAATGCTCACTGGGCCTACTGCCACAGTCAATAACCACTGACAAGCCAGTGACACGGAGTTGACCGTCACAGAAGCGCTGGCGAACAATTGTGCCTGGGTGGGGTGAATCATAGAACTTGTGGTAAACGTGACAGGATGCAGGAAACTATCAAATGACTGCCTCCATGCGCGCGACCAAATCGGCAAGTGTTCCGGGCCGCGGGAACGAATGGCGACACATCGCAGCGACACCTCTGGGAAAAAGCCAGCTCGCACGCGAAATACTCTGGGTGGCGCCCTGGATGCTGGCGGCATCACCTCTCGATCCCTTCAGAGACACATTAAGCGTCATATGCGCTGGAATACACACAACTCGCATGCGTCAGGCCCGCTTCTCTGAGCCTGCCTTCTTTTGCATTGCCACTGCTACAGGATCTGGCCAGAACTTGCGAAAGTTCCAACCGACCATAGCCAAGAGGGCATCGTAAAGCTCCGAGTGTGGTCAGGTATACGTGATTGAACAAGGGAAGAAAGCCCCGCGCAGATCCAAGAAATCCGCGCGGAGCGCCAACAATTTATGCTTATGCGGCCTCTTCATTCCTCGATCGAAAGCCTCTCAGAGGCTCAAACGTAAGATGACAGGCAGCTCGTTCATGGTGCCGCCCGGCTCCTGCGACCCGCGGGCCGCGAGGGGGCCCTCCCACCCGGTGGCGCCCTGCGGCAGCCCGTCCATCGCCACGGCAGTGGAAGACAGCGCAGAGCCTGGATCTCGGCTGCCCTGACACGCAGCACGCGGCGTAATGCGGAGTGACGATTAATAAAAAAATGGGGGAGAGCGATTGAAACATAGTTTCCTGCTATTTCTGCACAAATTTCTGACTGGAGGAGGACGATTGAAAAATAATGTTCCAGCCCGCGGCCGGTTTTTCTAATCGTCATCCCGGGCGCCGCCGCGTGAACACGACCCCCGGTCATTTATTAATCGTCATCCTCCATTACCGACTACGGCGCTCCACACGTGGACCCAAACCGCAGGCGTGGTGCGAGGCGTCCACCCAACACGTGGGCCGACACGCGGAGCCAGCACGCAACTTGTCAACACGGACGTTTTGGACACGGGACGTGTTTGGGGCAAGGAAAGGGGCAGAAGCATAAACTTCTGGCTCTCCGCGCGGACTTCTTGGACCCGCGCTGGACCCCCCTTCCCTGGCGCGCGGAGCCCGCCAGGGGCAGCGCCGGAGGCGCCGCCAGGGGGGCCCAGCGCAGATCCAAGACATCCGCGCGGAGCGTCAAGCGTTTGTGTCCTCTCCGCGTGTGGCGCTCCCAAACGGACGTATCAGGGCAGCCGCGGCCTGGATGTGTCGAGCTCTGCGAGGCACTCGGGGGGCGCGTGCGCGGCGTGGACTGCCACCAAGACGCCGGCGAGCAGCCGAGCGGCGGCGCAAGGCCGGGGGGCGGCCGGGCAGGTTCTGGCCGCGGGGCCTGGGCACCCACCCCCGGCAGCGGCGGGCGGGGCTGCTGCGCTGGCCTCTCGAGCCAGCCGCTCGGCGGCGGGGGGGGCGGGTGCGCAGGCGCCCAGGAGCGGCTGGCCAGAGGCGCGCGGGGCTGCCACGCTGCGCCCTCCTCCGAGGTCCCGGGCCGCGCCGCGCCCCGGGGGCCCTCCCCGGCTCCAGAGGGCTGGCGGGCACCCTGCGGCTGCGGGTCCACCGGCAGCTGCAGCGCGGTGCCGTCGGTGCGGCATGCCTTGGTGCGCTGGTCGACCCAATGCTTGGCGCCACTGGGGTTCCCGGCCTTGCCGTACGCCTCGACGATCGCGCTGCACGCCAGGATCTCGCTCTGGGCAGTAGCCTTGTAGTTGCCCTCCATGCCTGGTGGAGAGAAAGCGCGGGCCAGGGTGCAGAAGGTCACGCCGTCAGGGTGGCTCCCGGCGAAGACCATTTCTTCCAGCCAGTACTTCATCTGGGACACGTTCCCCTGTTTCACAGAGGCGTTGAGCATGCAGTTGAACGAAATCTTGTTGGGCTGGAGACCCATAGATGTGAGACTGCTGAACCACTGTTCAGCTGCATTGGAGTCGCCCTTCTGTGCGCACGCGTGCAACATGGTGTTGTAGCACACCAGATTCGGGGCGAGCTTGTTGAGCAGCATCTCCTCGAACCAGTACTCTGCCCTGGCCACATCACCAACCTTGGCACATGCGTGCATGACAGCTGCAAATCCGATAGTGTCGAGCTTGATGCCTTTCCTGGTCATTTGGCCGAACCAATACTCGGCTCGATCGACAAGGCCTAGCTTGGCGCATGCGCTGATAACGCTGTTGTAGGTTTTCTCGTCGGGGCGGAGGTTGGCCTCCCCCATCTGGTGGAGCCAATATTCCGCCTTGGCCGGGTCCGACACTTTTGCGCAAGCGTTGATGAGAGCGTTGAAGGTCACCGCGTCGGGGGTCACCCCGAACCGCATCATCTCCTCAAACCATGCTTCCGCCTGGATAATTTTGCCAGTCTTGGCGAAAACGTCGATCAAGGCACCAAAAGACACGACGCCAGGCTCGATGCCGTCGTCGATCATCCTCTTCATCCATACCTCCACGGCAGCTGGGTCGCGGGCGCGGGCGCAAGCGTTTATCATGGTGTTGTCCGCCACCTCGCCTTGTTCACGTTGAGGCGTGGAAGAATGCTACTTAGGGCTTCTGTATTCTAATGCATACGGGACCCCCCCTACCCGCGCTCCCTGCATGCATCTCCTCTCGAGGCCACGGTGCCTTGTTTAAAACATTAGCCTGACGAAGGACCTAACCATATGCAGCTGCGAGTGACGCGAGGGAGATGTGACGAAGGAGGGGAGCGCGCATACTCCGAGTAGCGCACGCGGTATAGCCTTCTGCCACGAAGCGTGTGAAGGGTGCGCCGACATGAGTCGGGAGGACGCCTGCGACGGTCGCCATTGGGGCCTTCCGTGGAGCTCCCTATGGGGCCACGAAGCGTGTGAGGGGTGTGCTGAAATTGGGCGGCGGTGCCATGCGAACTTTCCCACTGGGGCCTTCGGTGGAGCTTCCTATGGGGCCACGAAGCGTGTGAGGGGTGTGCCGACATGGGGCGGCAGTGCCATGCGAACTTGCCCACTGGGGCCTTCGGTGGAGCTCTCGATGGGGCCACGAAACGTGTGAGGGGTGTGCGGAAATGGGGCGGCGGTGCCATGCGAACTTTCCCACTGGGGGCTTAGGTGTAGCTCCCTGTGGGGCCGCGAAGCGTGTGAGGGGTGTGCCAACTTTCCCACTGAGGCCTTCGGTGGAGCTCCCTATGGGGCCACGAAGCGTGTGAGGGGTGTGCCGAAATGGGGCGGCGGTGCCATGCGAACTTTCCCACTGGGGCCTTCGGTGTAGCTCCCTATGTGGCCGCGAAGCGTGTGAGGGGTGTGCCGACATCGGGGGGCGGTGCCATGCGAACTTTCCCACTGGCGCCTCCGGTGTAGCTTCTACGGGGCCATGAAACTTGTGTGAGGGGTGTGCCAGCATTGGGCGGCGGTGCCATGCGAACTTTCCCACTAGGGCTTCTGGTGTAGCTCGCTATGGGGCCACGAAACGTGTGAGGGGTGTGCCGACATGGGGCGGCGGTGCCATGCAAATTTGCCCACTGGGGCCTTCGGTGGAGCTCTCGATGGGGCCACGAAACGTGTGAGGGGTGTGCGGAAATGGGGCGGCGGTGTCATGCGAACTTTCCCACTAGGGCCTTCGGCGGAGCTCCCTATGTGGCCGCGAAACTTGTGAGGGGTGTGCCGGCATCGGGCGGCGGTGCCATGCGAACTTTCCCATTAGGGCCTCTGGTGTAGCTCGCTATGGGGCCACGAAACGTGTGAGGGGTGTGCCGAAATGGGGCGGCGGTGTCATGCGAACTTTCCCACTGGGGCCTCCGGTGGAGCTCCCTACGGGGCCACGAAGCGTGTGAGGAGTGTGCCGAAATTGGGCGGCGGTGCCATGCAAATTTTCGAATTGGGGACTTGGGCGGAGCTTCCTATGGGGCCACGAAGCGTGTGAGAGGTGTGCCGAAATGAGGCGGCGGTGCCATGCGAACTGTCCCACTGGTGCTTTAGGAGGAGTTTTCTATGGGGCCACGAAACGTGTGAGGGGTGTGCCGAAATGGGGCGGCGGTGCCATGCGAACTTTCCCATTGGGGCCTTAGGTGGAGCTCCCCATGGGGCCACGAATCGTGTGAGGGGTGTGCCGACATGGGATGGGCATGCGGAGAGCAGAGGTAGGGAGGGGAGGAAGGAGGAGGTGGAGGAGGGGCAGCGGGAGGAGTAGTGAACGCGGGGCGCTGTCTCTTCAAAACGAAGACCCAACGCCACAGGATGGTTGGGAATGATGGGTCTGCGCCCAGGAGGCCACGATCATCATCATCATCATCATCATCATCATCATCATCATCATCATCATCATCATCATCATGATCATGATCATGATCATGATCATCATCATCATCATCATCATCATCGTCTTCATCAATATCATCATCATCACCACCGTCATCATCACCATCACCATAATCATCATCATCATCAGCATCATCATCATCATCAGCACGACCATCATCATCATCATCATCATCATCATCAGCACCACCATCATCATCACCACCATCACCAACAACATCATCATCACCACCATCTCTATCATCGTCATCAACATCATCATAATCATCTTCGTCGTCATCAACATCAGCATCACCATCAACATCACCATCACCACCACCAGCATCATCAGCATCATCATCATCATCATCCTCATCCTCATCCTCATCCTCATCCTCATCCTTGTCCTCATCATCATCATCGTCATCACGGCTCTCTCGTCCTCGAACAGTCGCAACCCAGAATGCTAGGCTTGCACGGTGGCGGGACTTGCCGCAGGACACTGGATACGTGATGCCGTTGGGTTGGACGTCGTTGGCCACCATCTGGTCAAACCAGAAGGCTGCACGGGCCGGGTCTGCTGCCTTCGCGCAGGCGTCCATGACGGTGTTGAAGGTGACGGCGTTGGGCTGCATGCCCGAACGCACCATGCGTTCAACCACCCAGCATGCGCCGTCGGGGCTGCCCGCCCTGGCGAAGCCGTGGATCAACTTGTGGTAGAACATCTTGTTGCACGTGTTCCTGGGGCCCGGCTGCGAAGCTGCGTCCAGCATGGCATCAGCAGCGCGTGCGTTCCCCTTCACAAGCAGCTCTATCACCGATTTCGTGAGGCTGGTCTTGTCATGAGCGCTCATCCCGCTGACGCAGCCGTGCACGGTGCTTGAAGGTCTTCGCAGTGAAGCAGACTCTGCCTTGCGAGTCTAAGTCAAATGTCGCTGGGTGATTGAAGCCCTTCCTGTCAGGAAAGGCTTGAACCCAATTGGCTATGGCGATCATCACTCCATAGATGAAGCTGTAAGGAGCTCGAAATTCCAGGATCACACGTTCAGAAAACATCTCAAACGGCACTCCGATTCTGGAAACCACCTGCCCTCAACCCAGGTAGCTGTTTGACATTTGACGGGTCACGCCCCTTGTGAGGATGTAACGTCTGTACACTTTTATCAACCAGCGCAGACTCCAAATATATCAGAAGACTTGTTCAAATAGGTAAAAAGACTGTCATGCAGTGGACTGAAATTGATTGAAGTAGACTGGACTGGACTGGACTAGGGTGGATCTCTACTCACCTCTACCCTACTCTATTCTGTTCTGCCCGACTTTACTCTACCATCTACCCGATTATACTTTGCTCTACCCTACTCCATCTACTGCTCTGCTCTACTCGAACCTACTCTACTCTATCCTAGCCGACCTACCCGACCTTACCCTACTCTAGTCGATTATACTCTACTCTACTTCTACTATTCTATTATCTATTACCCTCTCCTCTCTTCTACTCTGCTGAACTATACTCAAGCTTATTCTTCTAGTCTCCACTGTACGACCAACCCTACTCTGTTCTACTCCACTCCTGCTCTACTCTATTATACTCTACTCCTATTCTGCTTTACTCCTACCTTACTCCTTCTCTACTCTGCTCTACTCTATTCTATCCGAGTCTACCTACCATAATATACTCTACCTTGCTCTACTCTACTTTACCCTTCCAAACCCTACCGCACCTACTCTATTCTACTTTACTCCTACGCTACCTACTATACTCTGCTCTACTCCCTCTCTAATTCATCATACTCTGCTCTCCTCTACTCCACTCTGCTCTACTCCGCTCTGGTCTACTCTACTCATCTACTCTTCTCTACTCCACTCTACTCTGCTCCATGCCACTTCTGAGTGTGACGAATGTTGGACGATTGTTGGGGCGGCATTGAAATAGTCACAGGAAGCCATGCTTATAGCAGGGGAAACTATGGGGATACAGAGGGCACCTTGCAGGTAACAGAAGAAGCCATGCGGCTAGTTTTGACGATTGTTGGGCGATTGTTGGGACGCCATTGGGATAGCCACAGAAACCCATTGGGATAGAAGAGGAAACTATCCCAGTGCGACCCTACCTAAGAGTTGGTGCCTCTAGGAAAGCACCATTAGTAGGAGCGGTAAACGCCGTCCTCCTCCTTCTCCTCATCGTCGTAGTTGTAGCAGCAGCAGTAGCGGTAGTAGTAGTAGTAGTAGTAGTAGTAGTAGTAGTAGTAGTAGTAGTCGAAGTAGTAGTAGTAGTAGTAGTAGTAGTAGTCGTAGTAGTAGTAGTAGTAGTAGTAGTAGTAGCAGTAGTAGTAGTAGTAGTAGTAGTAGTAGTAGTAGTGGTAGTAATAGTAGCGCCAGAACGGCCGACGCCACGCCGTAAGTGAAACAGCAGCACAAGCAGGCAGCAAGCGCCGAGACAGCAGCAACAGCAAGCAGGCACGGAGATGAGGGCGGGGCACTGGGGAGTTCTTTACATCTACTTCGATATCTACACCTACATCTACATCGACACCTACATCTACATCTAGACCTACATCTACATCTACACCTACAGCTACATCTACATCTACATCTGCATCTACAGCTACATCTACATCAACAGCGAGACTCACATCTACATCTACATCTACACCTACACCTACAGCTACACCTACATCTACATCTATGCTTCTACAACGTACGTGCGCACACACACATATACGTACATATTTGTATACATGGCAGCAGCAATGGTGGATGCTGTGCTGCGCTATGCTGTGCTATGCTATGCTATGCTATGCTCTGCTATGCCATGCTATGCTATGCTATGCTGCGCGATGCTATGCTGGGCTAGGCTAGGCGATGCTATGCTATGCTGCGCTATGCTATGCTATGCTATGCTTTTGCTTTGCCTTCGCTTTTGCCTTCACTTTTGCCTTTGCTTTTGCTTTTGCTTGGCATCCAAGGAGCGCAACTGGGGGAACCGCGCGTTTGCTTTTACCTTTGCTGTTACTTTTGCTTGGCTCCCGGGGGACCGGGGGAACCGCCCGGGGCGATTAGCACTGCCCGGCCCCTTAAAGCAAAGAAGGTAGGAACCCTTCTAGGCAGAGCCTAGGTAAGGAATTAGTTAGCCTGGGGACTATCTTTCCATATGGTTGATTATTGATTGAATGTTTTTGACTTTTTATCCGCCGACCCCAGAGGCGTGTGCGATATCCTTCTGGGCTGGATACTACACCCGACCATTTCTCGCCCGAAACTGCCACCTGGCTCCGACACCACGATTCTTCTCCCAAAACCGCCAACATTCCCCTCCCCGCCCCCCACCTGGCCCCGACATCCCCACCCCAGATTGCCTCTGTTCTTGGGACTCCCCACCCGACGATTCCTCTTTCAAAAACGTCCAACGCCCTTCTCCCCGCCCCCCACCTGGCCCCGACATCCCCACCCCAGATTGCTCTGGTTCTTGGGACCCCCCACTCCACGATTCCTCTCCCAAAAACGTCTAAGGCTCCTCTCCCCGCCCCCCACCTGGCCTCGACGTCCCCAACCCAGATTGCCTCCTTTCAAAAACGTCCAACGCCCTTCTCCCCGCCTTCCACCTGGCCCCGACATCCCCACCCCAGATTGCCTCTGGTTCTTGAGACCCCCCACCCCACGATTCCTCTCCCAAAAACGTCCAACGCCCTCCTCCCCGCCCCCCACCTGGCCCCGACATCCCCACCCCAGATTGCATCCGTTCTTGGGACCCCCCATCCCACGATTCCTCGCCCAAAAACGTCCAACGCCCCCCTCCCCGCCCCCCACCTGGCCCCGCCCAGATTGCCTCTGTTCTTGCGACCCCCCACCCCACGATTCCTCTCCCAAAAACGTCCAACGCCCCCTCCCCGCCCCCCCCACCTGGCCCCGACATCCCCGCCCCAGATTGCCTGGCCCCGACATCCCCACCCCAGATTGCCTCTTTTCTTGCGATTCCCCACCCCACGATTCCTCTCCCAAAAACGTCCAACGCCCCCCTCCCCGCCCCCCCACCTGGCCCCGACATCCCCGCCCCAGATTGTCTCTGTTCTTGGGACCCCCCACCCCGCGATTCCTCTCCCAAACACATCCAACGCCCCCCTCCCCGCTCTCCACCTGGCCCCGACATCCCCACCCCAGATTGCCTCTGTTCTTGGGACCCCCCACCCCACGCTTCCTCTCCCAAAAACGTCCAACGCTCTCCTCCCCGCCCCCCACCTGGCCCCGACATCCCCACCCCAGATTGCCTCTGTTCTTGGGACCCCCCACCCCGCGATTCCTCTCCTAAAAACGTCCAAGGCCCCCCTCCCCGCCCCCCCACCTGGCCCGACTCCCCACCCCAGATTGCCTCTATTCTTGGGACACCCGCCACCCCCGATTCCTCTCCCAAAAACGTCCAACGCTCCCCTCCCAGCCCCCCACCTGTCCCCGACATCCCCACCCCAGATTGCCTCTGTTCTTGGGACCCCCCACCCCACGATTCCTCTCCCAAAAACGTCCAACGCCCCCCTCCCCGCCCCCCACCTGGCCCCGACATCCCCACCCCAGATTGCCTCTGTTCTTGGGACCCCCCACCCCACGATTCCTCTCCCAAAAACGTCCAACGCCCTCCTCCCCGCCCCCCACCTGGCCCCGACATCCCCACCCCAGATTGCCTCTGTTTTTGGGACCCTCCACCCCACGAATCCTCTCCCAAAAACGTTTAAAAAAACGCCCGCCCCCTCCCCGCCCCCCACCTGGCCCCGACATCCCCACCCCAGATTGCCTCTGTTCTTGGGACGCCCCACCCCACGATTCCTCTCCCAAAAACGTTTAACGCCCCCCTCCCCGCCCCCCACCTGGCCCCGACATCCCCACCTCAGATTGCCTCTGTTCTTGGGACCGTCCACCCCACGATTCCTCTCCCAAAAACGTCCAACGCCCTTCTCCCCGCCCCCCCACCTGGCCCCGACATCCCCACCCCAGATTGCCTCTGTTCTTGCGACCCCCCACCCGACGATTCCTCTCCCAAAAACGTCCAACGCCCCCCTCCCCGCCCCCCCACCTGGCCCCGACATCCCCGCCCCAGATTGCCTCTGTTCTTCGGACCCCCCACCCCACGATTCCTCTCATCCGAAAACGTTTCAAAACGCTCTCCTCCGCCCGCCCCTGGCCCCGACTCCGCAAACCCCAGATTGGCCTCTGTTCTCAGGGCCCCCTCCCCCCACGATTCCTCCCACCTAAAACGTCCAAGCCTCCTCCCCGCCCCCCGCCCCCCCACCTGGCCCCGACTCACCCACCCAGATTGCCTCTGTTCTTGGGAACAACCCCCCACGCCCACGATTCCTCTCCCAAAAAACGTCCAACACGCCCCCCCTACCAGCCCCCACCTGGCCCCGACATCCCCACCCCAGATTGCCTCTGTTCTTGGGACCCCCCACCCCACGATTCCTCTCCCCAAAAAGTCCAACGTCCCCCTCCCCGCCCCCCACCTGGCCCCGACATCCCCACCCCAGATTGCCTCTGTTCTTGGGACCTCCCACCCCACGATTCCTATCCTAAAAACGTCCAACGCTCCCGTCCCCGCCCCCCCACCTGGGCCCGACATCCCCACCCCAGATTGCCTCTGTTCTTGGGACGCCCCACCCCACGATTCCTTGCCCAAAAACGTTCAACGCCCCCCTCCCCGCCCCCCACCTGGCCCCGACATCCCCACCCCAGATTGCCTCTGTTCTTGGGACCCCCCACCCCACGATTCCTCTCCCAAAAACGTCCAACGCCCTTCTCCCCGCCCCCCACCTGGCCCCGACATCCCCACTCCAGATTGCCTCTGGTTCTGGGGACCCCCCACCCCACGATTCTCTCCCAAAAAGCGTCCAACGCCCCCCTCCCCGCCCCCCACCTGGCCCCGACATCCCCACCCCAGATTGCCTCTGTTCTTGGGTCCCTCCACCCCACGATTCTTCTCCCAAAAGCGTTCAACGCCCCCCTCCCCGCCCCCCACCTGGCCCCGACATCCCCACCCCAGATTGCCTCTGTTCTTGGGACCCCCCACCCCACGATTCCT